TGTTAGTGTTTGAGTGTTAGTGTTAGAGTGTGTGTGAGTGTTAGTGTGAGTGTTAGAGTGAGTGTTACTGTGTGTGTCTTACTGAGTGTGTGTGTGTGTGTGTGTGTTAGTGAGTCTGTTTGATGTCTGTTAGTGAGTGTGTGTTTGTCAATGAGAGTATGTTTTGTAAGTGAGTGTGTATGTATGTCTGTCGCTGAGTGTGTCTCTGTCAGTAAATGTGTGTGTCTGTTAGCTAGTGTGTATGCGTCTGTAAGTGTGTGTGTCTTCAGCACTTACCTTTCTCCAGCGCCGGACTCCCTTGGCGCTGGGGATCCCTCAGCCTCTCAGCTCCGAATGCGACCGCGCATGCATTCAAACTGCCCATAGGAAAGCATTACTCAATGCTTTCCTATGGACGTTCAGTGTGCTCCTCTAGCGGCTGTCAGTGACACAGCCACTAGAGGCTGGATTAACCCTCATTGAAAGTATGTTTTCAGCTGCAGGGTTAAAACTACAGGGACCTGACACCCAGACAACTTCATTGAGCTGATGTGATCTGGGTGTCTGTAGTGGTCCTTTAAGTGTGTGTGCATCTGCATGCACTGGCGTACATACCGCGGTCGCAGGGGTCGCAGCCCTGTAACCCCTGCGACCAGGTGCCCACCGCCATGTGTTGTGGCCCGGCCCGCGCGCGGGGGAGGGGGGGGGCCACGGATCAATTTTCGCACCGGGGCCCCATGGGTCATGTGTACGCCACTGCACCTGAGAGACAACCTCTAGAATGTTATTAAAAGGACAGTGTTTCACAATGTTGATTTATTAATACTAAAAGAGGGAGATGTAATGGATGTTATGTTTTGTTTACATGCAACTAACTCTATGGTTTATTCTCTATTGCACGTGTTTCCTGTTGGGGTGTGTACTTCCCTCCTGTATCTCCTGAAACATGGCTGCTATACATGAATACCTGGCAGTGTCTTTATTTATATCTCCTGAAACATACGAGGTATTATAACAATGGTTTCTAAAGCCTTCCTGAGAACATGTTTGCGTTGGTTTTCTGGAATTTGCAGCTATTCTGGACCTTGGTGGCATCAATTTCTGATAACACTTTTTTTTTTTCCATGACATTTCAAGTTCACAATAGCATATTAAAATATTTAACAGTTATTACATCAATATGATTGGCGTGATATAACTGGGTGGACCATCACATTGTGAGGGTACATATCCTTAAAACACAATAATGGACATTACAGATGGTATAACAATATTGCGAACATTTAAAAACCTGGTAAGACAGGCAAGGAAGGAAAAGAATATAGCGGGGGGGGGGGGGGGGGAGGAGGAAGGGGGGAAAAGAGCCTAGGACATTTGATGTCAGTCGTCTAGGTCTGTTGTAGATCTATTATATGTTACCATTGTACAATAGCTATTTGTACATTGCATAGCTGAATGGGCACAGCTAGGGCCGCCATCAGAAATTTTGGTGCCCCTAGCACTGCTCAAGGTCCCCCCCTCTCCCCCCCAACAGAAATACACACATACACCGATACAAAAAGGACAGATATACAGACACATACAGGTCAACACACTTACAAACATACAGACACATACATACACACACGGACATAGCAAAAAACAACTCTTGCAACTTGTTCTTTGCTCAAGAGAGTAAGCGCTGCAATATTTATATGGTATATGAGGTAAACTGCATCTTTACCAAAATTTTCCAGGGGTGTGCAGAATGTGTTTCCTTGTTTGGTAAATCAAGTCTGCTACACTTTTCCAGAAGGCTGCTAGTTTTCGGCATGCCCATCAAATGTGAAGCATGTCGCCGAGCCCTTCTTGGCATCTCCAACACTTGTTGGGTATGCTAGGGTTTGTGCGGTGTTTTTTTTTTGTGGGAGGCAAATAGTTTGTTCCAGGTCCTCTCAGAGAGTTTGATCTTTAAGTCTTATTTTTGTATGTACAGACAAAACCAAACAGATTAACAAATACACAAGAAGTATGTATTATGCTTTTATTTATTAATTATGTGACATACAGTTCAATATTTATACACTAAACTTTATTTAGGCTTACAAAAATCAGAATACATTTTACCAAAACTTTGTCTAGCACGGATAACACGTTTACACTTCTGTACATAAGAACTTTAGACATTATATGGGAACAACCTAGAACTCTGCAGAAAAAAAGCGCCTAATACTACCTCTCATCTCATGTTTGAAAGTGATGCAAACTTTTGACCATATCGAACAGAATAGACTTCTTATAAGAAGCACATAGTGCTACATACACATCTGAAAAATAGCCTTTATCTTTAAAATCATGAACACAATTTCCTATATCTTGCATTTTTTTCAGACTGGGAAAAGAATATTTTTTGTTTACAGTCCGTATCCATCCACATGGAAACATAAGAAAAATTTAGATTCATTTTTGGGTGATTAAATGCGTAAATAATTAAGGGGGCAGGGGGGAGAAAGTGTACATAGGAAATAATTTTACATAATCTGTCATCTTCTAGAGCACACAGTTTTGTAAAAAATTAAAAATATTTGTTATTGATCTTTGTATAGGAAAAAAATACTTTGATATACATTTTATTTTTACTTCATTCTCTAGGGTTAGTAGACTTGTGCACAAATTCTTTTCAGTTTGTATGAATGACTCAAGCGCGAACAAAATCGATCCATCTGTGATCAGGTGAATCCCAGACGGGTCGATCAATTCGGGTATAAATTGAAAGAAATTGGTTTCATTTTACCAGATGAAAAGAATTTGGGCACAATTCTTAGGGTTAATATAATGCATAAGTAAAAAAGACAAAAAAATATCAATACAAACGTTTCCACAAAAAGTATAAGAAAAAAAAAAATTATATGTAGCCAATATGGTGTAGAGAAGCACAAAAATGTGTTTTTAAATTATCCCACCACACCCCCACCCCTAACCCTGAAAATAAAGACATACATAATAGTTGGAAAAAAAAAAAAAAAAAGGGGTGGAGGAGAGAGAGACACCAAAGACACAAATTTAATGTCATAAAATTCAATGAGAAGTATAATGTGCAAGATCATGTATCAAGTCATTCACTTGAACCTTGCTTACCCAGGCTGTTAGAAAATTACATAGCTATATTTGTGAAACAGACAATCATAAAACAATTTTATGACCATAATATGTTTGCTTTCAGCTGTAGTCGCATTTAAATCATGGTAGCTCAGTATTTTAACAATTCAATTGATTCACTAATATTAATCTAACCTCTATTAAATAAACTTGGCACTTTGTAGAAAATTTGTGCCCCTAACTATATATTTAAAAAAAAAAAAAAAAAAAGTGTAGTGTAACAATGAAAACTCCAGCGCAAAACATGTGTAATGGGAATTCATACCAGCTTAAAACAGAAGTTCCATAGTTGTGTGGCTCAAGGTCTCCTCCATTAGCAACAATGAAAACAAGTAGTAAGACTGCCAACTGGTGACAAGAAAAAAAAAAAAAAAAATCCATCCATCGTGGGGGTAGGGGAGAGGAGACTTTATTGTAAGATAGTTTAAAAAATTCAGTGACAAAGCGGGAGTGACGGAAAAAGAGGGGATAAGAAAAGTATGTTGAAGACTTTCTAATGTATGAAATATGAAACACGTCAGTGCCAACATAAAAATGCGTTGATTTTTTGCACCCCTCTATACATAGCCTGGATTTTTTTTTGGGGGGGGGGGGGTGTGACCCCAGTTAGAGGTCCAACTGCTTGTTCTTATTAGAACATATCTAACTTAAGATTTTCTACAAAGCAACAAAACAAAACATGGGCGAGTAGGGACATTCTAAAGAACTTTTTTTAAAGAGAATGAATTGCTGAAGTTTTATAGGACCCTTTAGTCTATAAGAATGCAGGTTAAAAAGTAATTCTTTAAAACATACAAGCTACACATTTATTTTATTTTTTTTAGGATATTTGCTAAACATGACTCATGGTGATCACAAAAGTGGACAATTCCCAATCTGCCTAAAAAGGGCTGCCATCCTCAATGTTTAAATGGAACATGGGGAAACTGAACATTTTGAGCCCAAGGATGATTTAAGATGATATATGAGAAGAAAAATAAAAATCTATAAATATGTTTGTCAAGATTCCTGCACAAAATAAATATCAGTGATATTCGCCACACAACAAATTTTAGCTGATGTAAGTTGAAATGAGAAAAGTAGGCTACAATAACCAAGCTGTGACAAGAGCCAAGATTTTTTTTTTTCCACATTTTTCCAGATAAGCAAATTACATTTAATTTTCTTATGTTTGTTATAACTCAGCCCAAGTTAAAACCACAAGTGTTAGACATGTTGAGTTTGTGTTGCAGTTTTGGAAATTGTGCATGTATACATTGTAAGTAACTACATCATTCTTATTAAAGATTACTAGGCTACTCGATTAATAGTTAAACTTGACTCGGTATTTGATTTTCTCTCACTACCCACAGTGTAAAGCCTTTTAGAAACTTCCAATATAGATTTAAAAAAAAAAAAAAACACCTTTTGGTAGCGGTTTGATTACCACCATATACATTTAGCAGAGACTTAAGATAACCATTAAATTATTCACTTGCAGTCACTTTGGCAGTTGTAAGCCGAGAAGACAAAGTTCCCATATAGGTCCATAGAAAAAGGTTTCCTTGTTCAAGAATATATTTGGCTTAATCGTTGGACGCATTCTTTTGGTTTAACAAAAAAATAAAAATAAAAAAACCACACACACACACCCCACCAAAACGAAAGTGAAGACTACTTCCCCCTTGTGTTTTTTTGTTTTTTTTTAAACCCTCTTACAACCCAAATACGCATGCCCAAATTTATCACATAAATCTAAAGGGGCACTGGACAGACATTGAAAAGTGTACTTCTAGATTAAACACCAAATCTGTGAAGCTAAGTGATCTGTAATCTGCAACTTTCTATAAGCAGAGTATATATGTTCTATAACATTAATATAAAAAGCTGCATCAGAACGGCTTTTAGTGTCTTAACACTAGCTTTCCACGGCCAATGCTGTTGTGAAAGCCTTTACTTCCATCCGGACCTCGTGGCAGACGAAGTACTCCACTGGGAAGGCCACTTGAAGCAGCAGATTTCACTGCTAGAGGGCTACAGGGTAAAGACTTGTTGTCTATGCGCAGGTTGTGGGCAGCAGCTCTGCGTCTTTGCACCCAAGGACTATTAGATCCAATACCACTGTCCAGAGAATATTCAGTTATCCTGCGGCACATTTCTGGGCTTGTAGCAGGACTGAAACAACCACCATTCATGAGCTCAGTAGCCAATGGAGAGGGATTAGTGTGGTAAGGCTGGGAGAAGTTTTTACGTACCAGTAGTGGACTGGATCGAGGACTACTGAAAGCAAGTGGCTTAAGCGATAAATTTGGGCTTGTGAGGTTTGAAGTGGAGAGGTAACGAGGTGTCGATACAGGAGAAGCAGGTGTGCTGTCTGACTCAGATGAACTGTAAAATGTTATGTCTTCCATGGCATACTGAAGCCTTTCTGAGACTCTATTTTGCTTCTTTGCCACCTTCTTGCTAGGCAAATCAGAGTCTTCAATTTCATCAGATTCCATCCCACTATTTTTGCGTATGCCACGACTACTTACCGGTATCACTTTTAAAGAATCACTAACGGAGTGTTGATTCATGCAATATGCCTCAAGGGCTTTACGGGCCCCTTCCAAGTTCTCATATTCTACAAGAGCACTTTTTTTGGTAGTCAGTTCACTGTACCTGGATATATACTTTTTAACATAACAAGGTACCTCTTTACCTGGTTTCAAAATACGAACAGATGTTATAACCCCATATGGTGCAAAAAGAGCTGTGACAGTCTCCATGAAGGTCTGGTGGCATATAGAAGGTCTTTGCTCAGAATCGCTAAAATTCCAAGCTAGAAGTAGTTTAGTGGGAGGTAGTCCTAAAAGAGAATCTGGAATTGGCGTTTTTCTCCTCACTTTTGTCTCCTCCTCATTAACCTCAAGAATTTCTGAAAACTGCAGAGCATATAATGTTTTTCTCCAATCACGTGCAAGATTCTTCACCTGTAACATAAGAAGTCCAAATCAGTAAAAATGTGTGTATGCCCATAATAGTTTTAAAAAGTTAAGATGTGGGTGGAGAAAGATGGCCTGAATTGGGGTGGTATTTAATAGGTCTACATACAGGTGAAACGAAATAAGCTTGTACTAAAACTGTGATGGGCACATTGTTTGAAATAAACAGATGTGTTTGTGTTTATTAGAGATCTTCTCACATCATTTTTCAATTGTATTCAGAACAAATGTGGACACCTCCCACGTTTTATTTTTTATGGTTTGTTTTTTTATTCGAGCTCTGGACCCGCAGAATGTTGGTTGAAGTTGGTGGGTTTTGAACCTCGATTAATGGCTCAAAAATTTCTTATAGTGGTTTTCTGTTGCACAGCATAATGGTTTCTCTGATTTTCTTTGCTTTTACATATGCCTACTTGCTAGAACCCTTATATCTAAATATTTATACTGGTGCTTTTTTCTGTGTTTCTCTAGGAGCTTCTCCTAACCTCCCTTTAGGACATGACTGTCCTAGTGAAACAGATTTTTGTTGATGTTTCATGATAGAGCAATGCTTATCCAGCCATATTTCTAGTGTCATTCCTATTTATCTTTGATTTTGTGACCTACCAGCTTCTACTATTCTGCAATAATGTGCATTTAACCGTGTGTACGACTCTTGTGCTACAAATGTAAAAATATTCAAAAATATATATATATTTTTATTATATGTATTTTTTTAGTCAATTCAATCAAGGGTCTGTAACGATAAGACTCCAAATTGTTTAATAATAATTGTGATTTTGTGGGTCCATAAATTCTTATAAAGGCTTTCCCATTTTTACAATACGAGATGCACAATTTTATATTAACATTTAATTAAATATGTAAAATACAACTCAAATTAATCCCTTAAAGGCCACAGTAAAGAGAATTTTGCCACACTGAAGGTTTCTTCACAGTAGGTCATTGAAATTTTAAAAGCCAGTTTGAAACTTGTATGGTTTTGATAGAGTGCAGATCTTCAAAGCCCTGGGGAGGGAGGGGGTATACGCCCTCATGTTTTAGAAAATGGTTAAGATCATGGTCAATTAATTTAAATCCTTTTAGGATCTCTCTCAGGGGAAATCAGATTGCCATTTTTTGTAGTCTGGAAAGAATTTTCTCATATATAGAGATAAAATTGGAAATCATTTAAGCACATTTTTTGTTTCCCCTCTCTAGTTAACAAAGATTAAACATTTATCAAGAGACTAAAAAAAAAAAAATTTAAAAATTATATATTAAAAAAAGTTAACGAAGTTGAAGAATAAAAAGATAAGTCAGAGGGGGGGGCCCCAACTATGCAACAATAAATGGTTTCCTGAATCGAGTTCTATACTAAAACTGGTTTGGCTTCTTTTACTTAACACAAAGTCACTTGATAATGGTTATATGTAGCCATAGAGGATCATAAGCCATTCTATGGAGTTGTATATTGGAAGAGTTTCCCATTGAGTTAGTTGTTGGATTGCCACCCATGGAAAAACCCAGTAGTGTGTAGCAAGTTTTCATGCATTTGCACGTCTTATTCCTGCTAACTCTTCTAGGTGTAGAAGATCTCATAGACTTTGCATTTAAAAGAGGGAAAGTGTTTAAAAGCCAAGGGGTTACTGGTATATCAATTAACTGGAATTCCTAATACAAAACTGTATTCAATTGTGTCCCTCTGCAACAACGGTCCCCTCTACCTACCCCCTCCCCCCAAGCAAATAAAGGTTTAATACCCCTGTAAACACTCACTTGAAGATGTAGAATTGGGAAGGGATCTATAAGAGGAGATACTGTGAAGGGTACACTAAAACTGAGAATGTATTAAACAAACACTACAGAGGGTATCTAGACAGAGAGAGAGATTGATCTTAAAAGAGCTGGAACAGACTCATCCTTGGAGTTCAGAGGGAAGCTTTCATCACTTCTATCACGTTCTCTGAATTGATATTAAAGCTGGAGTGACATCACTTCCCAGCAGCAGACATCATTTAAAGGGATATGAAGGAGCAGCTCAAAATGTCTGTGCTACAAGGTGCACATAGCAATCATGTTGTCTGCCATGGAACCTAGATTGATCAAGTAAGGTGCCAGGGAGCCCACTGTAGAACACTAATTGCTGGGATAGCTAAGGAAATCTCCCTACCTGGCCAGTTTTACACCATTTAGTAAGGCTTTACTCACAGAACCTTCAAACTGGCTTAAAAGGCAGCCCACTGGGATTTTTCCCAGTGAGCCAATCTGGTCCTATTTAGAGAGGTCAGACAAATGTAACCGATTTATTGCCATTTTGACCTTCATACATTAGCACTGACCTTCTTAAAGGAGGTGAGTAGTTTTATGCTGACATAACCCATTTTATTCTTCTGCACATGTTTGAGCAGAAAAGCATCACGAGACAAGTTTTCATCCGAGAGATAGAACTCCACCTGGCTCACAATCTTCTGCACAAGTGTCATATCAGGGATCCCACTGTCACCTTCATAGGAGTCATCATCCAATGTTTCAGTCACATCACAGAAACTCCTACAGGGATTAGAGAACAATATCAAGAGACAGTCCTTTTAAAAAAAAAAAAACCCCACACACACACTAAAAATATTATTTTAAATAGATTATTATATTTATGGTAGGTATCCTTTTAGTAGCAACCATAGCCACCCAGACCGTGATGGAGAACTACAGCCAGGAACGAAATACCAGCAACTATGTATAAAGAGAAAGAGGGTTACTGTGTACAGTAAGCTTACAAATATTGCAGTGATAAAAAGAAAGAGCAGCTACATACTCTGGTGGGTTTCTCCTTCTCCCACTATATATAAAGTCAGTAAGATGTGAGTTCTATACCCACATCTATACCAATAAGGTAAGTGAAGCGCTATATAGAAATAAGAATATACACTTACCCTAAAGAGAGTGTTGCACAAACAGGATAAAACTATATATAGTGCAAATCCATAAAAATAAATAAAAACTTGTATCATACATGTGTCAACGCACATTAATAAGAGCCTCTGGGGGACAGGCTCAAATCACATCGGCGTTAGTTTTCGTAGGTGACACTGCACCCTTTCTTATCCAGAGTGGATATCCTCAAGAAACAAGATAAGAGGAATAATTCTCTAGTGTAATATGTTCGAATACACAAAAACATAAAATGCTGGTGGTTTTGCACACCTTCTTCAGAGCCAATAAGATCTGGCTCGGAGTTGTAAATCTAGGTGCCTATAGAGGGAGCATCTTTCTTTCTTTAGCAGCAAGTAGTGGATAAAGCCAGTAGGACTGTAAAATTTAAACAAAACAAACCGTAAAAAAATAAAGAAAGTGCATTAAGTTAAAATCAAATGTCCAAAATGTGGCTTACAGTCCGAGGCGCGTTTCGCCCACATTCAGTGGGCTTTTTCAAATCTGCATATCATTTCCTTCCAATCTTGCTGCTTTTAAATATTCCCGGTCTTGGATCTTATTGGTCCATTTTCTGAACGCCCTTCCAATAGGAGTCCTGGATGATGAGAGGTCGAATTCAAACACCTTCAGCTTATTAGGTTAATTGGAAGCGACGTGGCATCCCCAAATCACGTCATCTGATTCCCTTGCAGCTATTTTACTTGTGGAGAAAAATTATATATATATATACACACACACACACACACACACACACACACCTCTCTGTTCACAAACACCTTTTATCTCAAGACTTTAGCGATAAAAGGATATCAGGAGGAACTTTTAATAAAATCTTTCAAAGCGGTACAGGACAGATCGACTCTTAGATTGGTGTGCCGAGTGTGCAGTCCCTGGGGTCCAGTGCGCCGCTTAGTGATGCTGGAGTGACATCATATTCCAGCTCTGGGATGACTGTTGTGCGTGCGAGTTAGCCGAGCAGGGATATCACTGTTACCTCGCTGCCCGTGGCCATTTTTTTTTTTTTTTACTTTTGACAGAACACCAATTGGGAAACTGCACTAGAGAATTTTTCCTTTTATCTTGTTCCTTGATATCAATAAAAAAAATTTACTTAAAAAAAATAAAAATAAAAAAAATAAGTAAAAAGGGTGCATTGTCACCTACGACACGGATGCCGATGTGATTTGAGCCGGTCCCCCAGCTGCTGTTATCATTGTGATTTGACACACATATGATACAAGTTTTATTTCATTTTTTTTAATGGATTTACACTATATATAGTTTTGTCTTGTTTTATATGTACTTAATGTACGCCCAAGTTAAACGTCCTCTTTAGGCAAGTGTATATTCTTATTTCTATATAGCGCTCCACTCACCTAATTAGTATAGATCTCACATCTTACCGATTTACTTTGTTCACTATGTATAAAGGGACTCTAGCACTCTGGCTTTCTTCAGACATATTACAACTTTACAAATAATAGGAGTGCAATTTTGACTCCATCTGGTTTCTGACTTTACCATTGTATGCCTGCATAAACCTTTGAAATGGACCAAGAGGAAAACAAAGCTTTCTGCATTCTTGAGGATGGATTATGAGGCAGGAGAAGGCCTTAGGGTATGGTAGAAGAATTGAAGACTTGCAGGTTAGCTTTGTTTCTTTCGTGCCCCTTGTTCATTGTGTATTCTGCCATAGAGAAAGTTGTTCTGGTCTTATGTCTAAAATAGTGGCCACCTGGCTTGGTTACAGTAGGCAATTTCTAGTTTAACGATACTTGTTTAAGACACTTAAGCACATCTTGTCAATTAGTGACCTCTAACTTAAGACATGTTCATTACTTTGTCGCCTAGGGATTGTCAACACTTCATACACTGTTGGACACTATAAAAATTGTCTGTGTATCTCTCCAATATTGCTGCATGGTTAAACATTTTTCAAGCTCAAAAACGATATCTTCATAAAAGAAAGGAAAGTGGTATTTCATTGAAATTCCACAGAGAGACATACTCACAGTTTTCTTAAATTTAATTAGGGTTTATCCTAAACTAAACAATTAGAGAATTTTAAATTTATACAAATGGTCAAATGCAAATATTGACAAGACATTTCCAATTCATTAGAATTTGATATTCCTGGAATAAAAGCATTAAAAAAATAAAATAAATAAAAATAAAAAAAAACACGATTCACGTGAAAATTAAAAAACAAAACAAGTCAAAAAGAAAATAGAAATCTGCCTCTAAACTCTGTACATTGTCTAGCTTGTGTAGATCTGGACTGAATAATTTCCTTAGTTCCTGAATTCAACATCCTAAAATAGTCCTGTGGATACAGTTATGGTCTGAACAAACAGTTATTAAGAAACTGAAGTGCAATAACATTTGTAAAAATGTCTGTGCAACCGTCAAAGTATCACAGTCAGCAACTGAGGATCCCAGAGAATTACGCACAGTTCTACCTGTGACATACAAAAGGGAACATACACAGTTAATCAGGACCGGTTTTACAGAGGTTGAATCCAAATTTGTAAGTGTACATCTGCTTTAGGTAAATTCTGATTATTTCTTTTTTTTTTTTTTTACTTTTAATTTTTATTAAGTTGAACTCTAAACGAAAAAGGTTTACATATAATATAAAACACAGTCAAATATTCACTTTGGGTTAAAAATGGCAACACAGGACTCAAAATGTCACTGAAACCATTACTGGAAATAGGTATGATACATTATATTGATATTTTCCTGCTAAAGATGGCGGCTGGAAACTATTCAATATACCCAACAATCCATATCCAGTTACGATGCGTTTGGCTAATTCTGTAGGGACTAAAACAATTGATTTCCAATGAGGAAGAGGCATTTGTTCTTTTCGTTGAGGTCAGAAATTAGGTTACCAAGCAATCAAGTAATAACAGACTAGATCCTGTGGTGGTCCATAAAAAGGAGAGTGAGTCAAATGTACTTCAATAATACGCACACACCATTAACTCTTGACTATAATTAAACACTGCAAGAGAGTAAGAGGCGCCAAATAAAATGTGTACGGCTTATGCATAGGGACACATTTTTAAATCTCTTTAAAAGTTAGCATGTGCTCGCCGTAAGGATAGGCATTTAGCTCAGGGGTCTAAAGCAGTTTCTCATGAATGAATTATTGAAGACAATTTCTTACTGGATTATGGCTCTAAAGCAGGAACCTCAAACTCTGCCCCCAGATATTGATGGCCTACAACCAGGCCTGACAGTTGGGCAGCAATGGCCTAGGACGGCAGGGGACTTTAAAGGATCTCCCCTGCAAGGCATCACTTGCACCAAGAGGCAGAACTGCCCCTTCATGGGTACAGTGGGGAAGAATTGAGCCAGACACCCCCTGTGCAGGCCAAGCAACCTCATTGTCTCCCTCTTGCGACCTCCAACATGGTCAAAATATGTCCAATATGGACCAAATTACCAGCACACTGAATCACCAGGCATCAACATGCTCCCTCTCCCGTGTAAGGCAATAAAGGAGGCCAGGGAAGGGGAAGGAAGAGGGGAAATCAAATGTGATAAAAAATAAATAAAAAAGAGAGATAGATAAAATATATACACCCCCAGCACACACACACACACACACACAACACACTACTTGCACCCTATGCAAGCTATAAACACACTACACCCCCAGCACACACACAAATTCTATACCTCCCAAACACACACACACATACATACATACATACATATACACACACATACATATACACATATACATATACACACACACACATCCCTGGTGCAATTACGTACACTCTATATCCCCTATAAATACACACACACACACACTTTATACCCCCTAAATCTCCTAGATACACACACAGTACAGTCCTTACATGCACTGAACACCCCCTAGGCCCACACACACACACACACACACACACACACACTCTCTCTCTACAGGCCCTATAAAACATGCAAAAATACATACTTTACAGTCCAGAAACACACACACTCTCCTCTATACACATGCAATTGTGCAAGCAACTTCCAAACATATATAAACACACTAACAGCACAGTTCCACTTTTGTGGTCTGGTATCCCACTATTTAGGACAGCAGAGACAAGTAAAAAAATATATATATATATTAATAAATAAATAAAAAACACACCAGACAACACAGGACATCAACTCCACTGCAGAGCACTGGATGCTCTGGAGGGGCATAACACTAACAAACACACACCATTTCTTGCCCCGCCCCTCACAGTAGGCTTCTCTGCCTTTAACTGACCACGCTACAGGTTTCTCCCAGTCCAGCCCTGCCTACAACTCTCAGAATCTTGGGAGTTGTAGTTTAGAACCATATGGAGTAGCCTTAGTTTAAAATACCAGAGGCATTTTTCACACGAGAAGTCACTGGTAACAAAATGTGCCCATTTTCCTTATTCGAATATGTTATGGCCGCAAATTCCACAGGAAATACTGAAGTAATACATAATTTCATAGAGATGTTTGTTTTCTTGACCCATAACAAAGAGGGTACCCAGCAGGATAGATATCAGGATTAACAGTGCAAGCACAGTCCTTAATTTCAGAAGCCCCTCAGTAGAGGACAAAGGGCATTACTACTTAAACATGATAGATCCATATGGCATCACTAGAACAATAAAAAAAAAAAATTTAAAAGAAAAAATGATCATTTCTAGGCTTATAAACAACTGCAGACAATTTAATGTGCAATTTAGAAAAAAAATCTTGCAAATAAAGTTACATTTTGGAGGTGGGCTACAAAAGGTTTTGGATACCTAGGTGATCATATATCATTAGTTAAATATAGATTAATATGCAAAGTAATGCTTTTAATGGGCAGCAGACATTAATAGTTATGAACCTCGTCTTACCCATTCAAGTTATCAAAGTATCGATTCTGTGATCTCCGGTTTATATTGCAATTTTGCTCACGGAGAACAAGACCAGAATCAAAGGAGTGCGGATGCATTTCAACAGGAAGGCTACGGTAACTAGGCACTGATCTTAGATGTTCACAACCTGGAGCAGACATCGTTCCTAAAAAAATAGAAAAAAATAATTTTATTTTTTTTTTATTTTTTTTTAAATAAAATTCCATATAGACAAGACAAATGCTTAAATCTACAGTTAAGTAGCAAACCTTGTATTATTTACAGTTGTCTTGAGAACTAATTGATCAAATTAAATCATTTTAAAAACTTCATTAGTCTTCAATGTGATGACCACGAATACAGATGAATTTCAAAGCATTCCTCCTTGCAAATATGCATTTCTAATTGTAAATTTTTCTGCTGGTAATACAGAAGGTAAAATAAAAAAAAAAAAACCACACATTTCATTTTACCAGGTTTACAGATTTTTTACATTTTCGATACCTGGCCTTGCTGGAAGAGGAGAAAAGTGGAGGACAAATCACAAAACTTGTTACTGTAGTAGAATGTAGTGGAAGTTGAAGTACAATATAGCAATATTCTCATGTGGTATTTTTAGTACAGCTCTTCTTTCACGCTTAAGTTTTTCAGCTTCTGTGGAATTATATCCTTCCTGGAAGACAGAAAATAAATAAAAAAAATTTTTTTAAAAACGCAACAAAATATTGGAAGGAGAATGGGATGTGGGGGAAATAAAAATAAAAACCACCACCAACACAACATACACTGCACAAGAAAATAAACCCAATATCGAATGTAAGGCCACCAGGGACTTTTTCACCATATATGTGCAGACTTAGATCTCCAAAAACTCAGCTTTCCATGCTTTTTAATATCAGCTCTAAATTAGATTGGCGTCATAAGCACCTGCCCTAAAGATCAGTGAAGCCACTGTTCCAATATCCAGAATTTGTTACTCTAATCATCATTATGCCAGATATATATTTCTTATATAAATACAGTGTCCCTGCAAGCGATTCAATAGTAGCAAAATAGGAATCACTATCAAAGTTTAATCCACTTTACAACTTGGCGTGAGATCAAACACTTAAATGAAAGGAAAAAAAAAAAAACCCTCAAACACTTCTGTTAAAACAGACCTTTAAAGTCTTACACATTCTTACTGGGTGCCCTGACATGCTTAATTATAGGAAAATTCTAGTTACCATAATAATCCATGTACAAGGTCTTAAATCTGGTCCCACGAGATTCCTTTGGGCCCCAGCCCTAATCTAAATTACAAAAAACATAGAGCAGCAGACTGTTTGGAAAACTCTCCGTAATATTCTGCGTATATTAATCCTACAGCACACCATGGATATCATAGGTTGGGACTACAAAATTAAATTGATACTCGAGGAAAGGGGAGAGATATAAATAAAAAAAGTATGTATATATATATATATATATATATATATATATATATATATATATATATATATATATATATATATATATATATATAAAATAATTTGGAAGAAAAAAGAAAAAAGAAAAAAAAAAAGTTTTGCAAATTAGCCGATTCAAAAATAAAACTAAAAGTTATTTATCTTATACTTTACAGTTACTTCTGCAATGTAATCATAAAAAAAATAAATAAAAAAAAATAAAAAAAATTATATACACTATACACTTTGAAAAGTATTGAATTATTTGGAAAGCTTAGAAAAATCAATTGTTACATTAAGTTTTTACAGGTCACTTGTTTTATCCTAAAATTCACATTTCCCTTTTTAATTCTCCACAAATACCACTTTTGTAAATAAAACCCAAATAGTTTGTTACCTTTGTCACATGCGTAATTTAGATTTGTGAAATAGATTAAGAAAACAGAAGGGGGGGGGGAGGGGCAGAGCCAGCGCCTGCACGAGCTAGACGCGTTTTGGAGCAAGTCGGCCATACCAGACCGAGCCACGAGCAGATATCGACCGCGATTCGGGGCTCAAAGTGCTACGGCCCAATTCCAGATACCATGGGGAAGAAACTTAAGAAGTTGTGCTCAGACCTGGGCTTGGGTTCCCGAGATATAGGCACTTTCCTGCGCATGACCTGAGCCTGCCAAGATGGCACCCACTGAGGCCTATACATCACTGTCCTCAGATGAGGACAGCATTCCAGCCGACCTCTCCCCTCTGAGGCAGCAAACAGGGCTACAGACACACGCAGAGGCGGAAGAATCAGCTCCCTCCACAAAGGCAGACATTAAAGCCTTAATGAAGGAGATCCAGGCCATGTTTAATGCGGACATGGCACCAGTCATGGAACCATGGATGCAGTAACCATGCTTGCAGCACAAGACAGCATAGAAGGCTCCAAGCTCGCCCAATCAGCTACAGATGCTGCCATAGAAGCCCTGCAGAAGCAGTGTGCGGACCACCAGAGCCAAATAGCCAACTTGGAGGACAAGAACAGAGCACGCAAACCTGAGGATAATGAGAGTGCCAAAAACTATATCAGGAGCAGAGCTCCCTCACTATTGCCGGAGGCTCATAGCCACTCTGCTTGTGACTAAACAACTCGTGGTGGATTCCTGCTTCCGACTCAACAGAGCGGCCAACGCAGCACAAGAAGTACCCAGGGATGTTTTGCGAAAATTAGTGCGAGACTGACCGAGGGGTATTCATGGGAGCAGTCAAGGGCACCCCCCCCCCCAGTCTCTTTTGAGGAGGCACAGCTGGCATTTTACCGGGAATTTTCTAAGCATATGCTGTCATGGCGGAGAACCCTCAAGCCAATCACCCAGCTCCTTCAGGAGACTTCGATCCCTTACAATATTGTAGCAACTGAACTGCCAACCTGATCTTTGCAGCTGCAGAAATCTGTGCCCTCAAATACACACACAGTGTTCCTCAACTGTGTTTAGTTTACTTTTCTTTTCCTTGTTTTTAAGTTCTTTGAAACTGTTTAGAATACATTGGTTATCCTGGCTCCGTAAGCTTCCGATAAAGCGTTAAGACAGCATATCTCTGAAGTGGTCTGGGTGCTTATAGTGTCCCTTTAATTCGCCTTGTCTGACACTATTTTTCAGTTTAAAAAAAAAAAAAAAAAAAAATTCCAATAGGGATACTGCCAAAACCTAAACTGTTGCTGGGGCCATGGAGGACTAGTTTGAGAACCACAGCTAAAAAAAAAAATACTAAAAGTTTTAGAACATTACAAAATGGCGCATGTTCATAAAATGGACACAAATATGAAAGCGATTGTGGCAGTTTTTATGGATGACCTACCTCCTTTGTTTCCTATCTCTATGCTTACAGCCAACTACAAAATACTGTGTGTAGCAGATGGCACTGGGCTGTCCTGCAAATGTCTGTGAAAGAAATGCATTCGTGTGATCTGTTAGTTTCCTATGTGTTCTAAAGCCTTGTATTCTTGTGATTGTTCGGTAGTTTCGTTCCCTTAGTTTATTCGAATGAAACTACCGAACAACCAGACCTCCCCTGTGTGAAGTGTGTCCTCAATTACCCGTTGCAACATTGTTGCGAACGGGTAATTGAACAGTAAGTAGCCGTCCTTTGTTCTCGGGGGTGGCCGCCATTCGACAAACGAACACGTGGCGGCGGCCATTTTAAAACTCCCGAACAGCGGTGTTTTGCCGTCGAGTGTCTGGAACTAAAATCGGACACTCGAGTAGGCGAACACCGCTGAGACCTCCACAGCCCTGGTCCGTTCGGTTCCAAACTACCGAACGGCCCCTCGTTCGGTAGATAGAGAATACCGAACGAGGGGATTCAGGCGAACCCTCCCTAGCCTCTATAGCTAGAGGTTTTCGTGTATTTTATTCCCTTATGCCAGGACCGACCGCAGGGCCCATTCACATGGAACCGAATTCGGCTATCTCAGTTCGTGCGGTCGGTCATTTTATTCCCTCCATACTTTTCCCGAACCCCTGGTCTGATCTGGGTGGTTTTTGGATATGTTGTTCACCCAGATCAGGGCTACCAGGGGATGTAGGATTTAAAGAGGTACCCCTACGTTTAGGGGTACATCCAGAAACGGGGGGAATTGGTGTACTGGATAAGGGGATTATGATGCTGGCTGAGGGGAGGAGATGTGTGGGAGGTTACCAGGACAGGATTGGCTACTGTAATAATTACTGTAATCCCTCCCTTGCATGGGAGCATGCTTTATAAGGAGACTGTGATTAAAGGCTTGTCAGTTCTGCTCCTGAAACTGTGTGTCGTCCAGTTATTGGGATTGCTGTGGGGAGGTTGCTGTTATTTTACCTGCTGGAAACTTTGCCTATGGATTTATTATTTACTTGTTCCTGAGCCTCACTTGGATTATAAGCGGAGACAACCTGGGGAATATTGCATCTCCGCTACATTGGTTGGCAGCGCTGGGATCCAGACTCACAAGGGAACAAGGACTAATGGAATACGGATGGAGAGTGATTATGCCAAGCTTAAAAGATCCACGCTAAAAGATCTCCTGGAAGCGAAAGGCATTGCAGCCAGCAACAAAAAGAAAGCAATCCTCATTGCAGAAGTGATGGCTGAATACCAGCAGGAGGACAGGGTAATCCCTGAGCAACAGAGTGCAGCAGATGGAGCTGAAAAAGAAGAGTTCCGGAGAGAGGTGCAGTTCAGGCTGTCCTTTTATGGAGAGAATCCAACAACGGATATTATATCCAGGACAATGTCAGAGGTACAGGAGTTTATACTGCGCCAAAGGCCACTACAGCAGCTGGAGAGGAATGCTACCACAACTACCATCACACAGGGTAAGACAAAAATTCCTTACCAAGCCTTTAAAACGTATATAGAAGCAGAGGAAGATATAGATGCTTTTCTCCAAGACTTTGAAAGACTGTGTGCCTTGCATAATATTAGCCCAGATGAGTGGGTGCCTATTTTAGCAGGGAAGCTCACAGGGAAGGCGGCGGAAGCCTATAGAACTGTACCTGATGAGGAAATTCGGAATTACCGCCGAGTAAAAGAAGTGATCCTGGCCCGATATGCAATCACGCCAGAGGCATATCGGCGACGGTTTAGAGACCTAAAGAGAAATGACAAGGACTCTCATGTGGAATGGGCTTGCAAGTTGCATCGGGCCGCTCTGGGGTGGGTACAGTCCAATAAGGCTCGGTCCATGGAGGACTTATTGCAAATGGTGTTGTTGGAGCAATTCTATGAGGGGGTAACAGGCGAGGTCCAGGAATGGGTGAGGGACAGAAACCCTACCTCCCTTACCGAAGCTGCTAGGAAGGCCGATGAGTACTTGGATGCACGCAGGCAGCAGAAACCAGCAGCCCCAAAAGCTATTTTTAAAACCTTTGGGGGAAACAGCTACAACCCAGCTCCACCGAGGCAACTACCACCACCACCACCACCCGCTGTACAGCCCCGGTTTCGCCAGCCCGCTTCTGGCCCCTGTCATCACTGCCAGAAGTGGGGACATTATAAAAGGGAATGTCCCCAGCTGAGGGATCGTTCTACCTGGATTCGCCCCGGCCCACCACCACCACCACCGAGAGCAGCCGCCGCCCATCACTACCAAAATATAGTGGCCACACCATATGGGTCAGCTGTTCCCATAACAACCGTGGAACAGTGGGAAGTACTACACGAGGCGGATCCAGTCCAGGCCAATGCTGATAACAGACAACATCACAGGCAGACCGTATACTTGGAGGGTAAAGCAGTACAGGGCCTACGTGATTCGGGGGCTACCATCACCTTGGTCAAAAGTCATCTGGTCTCGGATGAAGCGAGACTAAGTAAAACTGTGGCCGTCAGGGTAGCCGGGGGAGCAGTGTACCGGCTACCTACAGCAAGGGTACATTTACATTGGGGAGCGGGGGCAGGACATGTGGAGGTGGGGTTGATGCCGCAGTTACCGGCGGAGGTTTTATTGGGGAACGATCTGGGGAGGCTCACATCTGCTTTTGAGCCCCAGACGTCCACCACAGGAGAAGCTCATCCTGTGGTCACCCGTCAACAGGCCCGCACCCAGGACTACAACACACTTCCGGAGGTTCAGGTAAGAGACCCTTCCCCTTCCCTTGACTGTGTCCCCTGGGCCCCTCCTAACGAATTCGCGGCAGAGGTAGTGACTGACCCCACCTTGCAGGTATACAGAGACAAGGTGACAGCAGACCCTCCGGAGGGAGAGGGGGAGAGATTTGTCTGGGACAAGCAGCTTTTGTACCGGGAGACAGACAAGCAGATTGAGGGGTCAGACCCAATAGTGACGAGGCAGCTAGTGGTGCCGCAGCGGTACCGAGCAGAGCTACTCCGGATAGCGCACGATATCCCGCTATCCGGACATCTAGGGGTCAGCCGTACTAGGTATCGACTGACCCAAAATTTCTTCTGGCCAGGGATCAGCCAGGAAGTGCGCCGGTATTGCACCACCTGCGACACCTGCCAGAGGGTAGGGAAAAGGGGAGACCGGAGGAAGGCGAAGCTACACCCCTTGCCAATAATTGAGGAACCGTTTAGCAGAATAGCGGTAGACTTGATAGGTCCCCTCAAGAAAGCCAGCCCGTCAGGCAAAAGGTACATTTTAACGGTAGTAGACTATGCTACCAGATATCCAGAGGCGGTGGCTCTGACCAACATTCAGGCTGAAACGGTCGCGGATGCCCTCATGCAGATATTCTCCCGGTTGGGATTACCCAGGGAGATTATCTCGGATCAGGGTACCCAATTTACCGCAGAATTCACCCAACACCTCTGGAGGATCTGTGGCATTAAGCCTATTATCAGTGCCCCTTACCACCCCCAGACTAATGGGCTCTGCGAACGGTTCAATGGCACATTGAAACAAATGCTCCGAACCTTCGCAGAGACCCACAAGGACTGGGAGCGGTTCCTGCCGCATCTCCTATTCGCTTACCGGGAGGTGCCGCAGGAATCCACGGGGTTCTCCCCGTTTGAACTGCTGTTTGGGAGGAGG